TTCTAATACCTTATTTTGAAATCTTCTAAATGCACATATGGAAAGTTTACTGCTATGAAACACCTTCTCTTTCTAATGTCCATGTAGCTTTATTGTTCTCTTTTCTGCTACATGTAAAAGTGGCTCTCAAAACTTTTCCTACCCAGTCCCTTTGTTATTTCAGTACATATAAATTTACACTTACATGTGTATATACCTGCTTTTTTTAATGTCACATTTATAGTCAAAACTAGACATTCATATCCAACAATGAGACAGGAAGATGCTGTCATAGAGTGAATCCTAGCTGTTCCATTTTATTTCCATAGGGTGAACAGAGTCAAATAGAGTATGGATACAGCTGTCTGCTAGTGCTAGATATAATTAACTGATAACTGGAAGATAGGACACCAGCATTTAAAGTTTCTTTTTTAAAGTTGTGTTCCCTCTGTGTCAATTTTCTATTAAAATATATGCTGTAGTCATGTTTTCAAGATTTTTTCAACATCCATGAGAGCTAAAAAAATGGCTTTTGAACAATTCTGGGATCAATTTCATTATTATTACCCCCAATAATCTCAGTGTATCCTATGGTATTACGATATTTGATCCCAATTCAAAATAAACATTCTTCTAGTCAGGTCTGGAAAAATATTTTAGTTCCTGAATGCCTGCATCAAATTTTTAGGAACCTAAATAATTTTAAAGCACCAGTTTTGTAATGAGCTGGGGGGGGGGGATGAAATTCTGAAGAAACAGCATAAGATGTCTAGTTACCAGGATGACCAAGTACCTAAATATTTTCCAGGTTTATCCTCAGCAGATTCTGTTTAATAAGTGCAAAGTAAAATAATGTTTTCAGTTCAGGTTTCGTGGGGGAGGGCAGTAGGGTCCTGTATGACAGAAAAATGGGCTTAAAATGTTAGAACTGCTCTTCCTCAGACACAATTGATTCAATAACTTGCCTCAACTCTAAACACATTTATGAGGAAATAAATCCAAATAATTTCAGTTGGATTACGAGGGACAATATTTATAAAAGAAAGGAAGCGGGGGGGGGGGGACCAAACAAATGGCAGCTGTGAAGGGTGCTGAAAACTGGAGGCCTATATGATTGTATGATTTTGTTTAAATGTGTATTGGTTATGTGTGTATTTTATTTTGTAAGCCACTTGGAATCCTTCAGGATGGAAGAAAAGAAGGATAAATATATTGAAACAAATAGGTTAAATATAAAAATCTTGGCTAAACAGAAGATGTACAGGTAGAAGTGGAGCTAAACCATTATGGTGAATATGTATGACCACTAGGGAAACCAAAAACAACTCAGCAGCCATGTAGGGGAGAGGGAATGCTCCTAAGACTAATAATTAGATAAGTCTAACCATCCATCTGGGCATAAGGGTGCCCTGCTAGCACTTTTGAGTCTTCTTTTAGTTATGCTCTGGCAGCAAAGAACAAAAATATTTTGATATCCAACTGCCAGTCAGTGTGCCTGCCTATCTACATCAACACTAGAGTTGCCAGCCTCCAGGTGGGGCCTGGAGATCTGCTATTACAACTGATCTACATCCAATAGAGATCAACTCTCCTGGAGAAAGTGGCTGCTTTGGAAGGTGGACTCTATGACATTTTACCCTGCTGAGGTCCCTTCCTGCCCCAAACCCTGCCCTCCCCAGGCTCCACCCCCAAAATCTCCAGGTATTTGAAACTCAGAGTTGGCAACCCTAATCAACACATGAAGCAAATTGCTTTGGTGTAATAAAGCCGTGCCCAAATCCTAGGGATAGGAGACACCATGATGTTTGCTGTTTGTCAGAATGCACCCTAACCTCTGAGCCATTATTATTTGGAAAGATCTGTTCTGAATAGCACTGATTCCCCTTTCATTACCATTACTAAAAGGCTGTTAAGACAGGCTGGCTTCCTCCCTAGTGGCTCAGCACTGCATCAAGGGCAACACAATAAAGCTGATGGCTGTTGCTGCTGCATTCCTAGTGCAACAAGCCACTACTTTGGGAGAAGACCTACTGTTCTAGCCTTGCATTCATCTCAAGCATGATCAATTCCATGGCCTTTCATGCCAACATCATGATAGGTTAGCTGTTAAGACGGTATATGACTAACACAAATAAAATAATAATTGGATTTCTATATACAATAAAGAATCAATTGTTCAACTTTCCACAGAATTCTAGAAATGTAAGGCACCCAATGACATTATCACAAAATAAGTTTAAAAATCAAATGCAATAAAAATTAATTCCATATAATACCTTCTTAATTTGTGGAACTTTTTATTACTCAAAGTTGCAATAACTGTAAGTATATCAGGGTTCAAAACAGGGACAGGCAATTTCAAAGATAACTGTTGCTTTTCCTATCAGGCATATTAAAACACCTATCTTTACAATTAAAGGCACCCCAACACATTAAGGCCACACTATAGAGTACCATGCAAATATGTGCGATATTGGTTCTATTGGTCCTTTCTCTTTTGGAACACAACCTCAGGAAGGAGATGCTTTGCAAAAGAAAAGCTGTAGTGAGAGTGGGCATGCTTAATTAGTTCCCCATCAACTGATTTTTGTCTGGAATTCCCCATGACCAATCTGCTTTTAACCAGTGGAAAATATCCAGAGATTACTGACAAGTAACCTCACCCCACTCAAGTCTGTGGTAAACATTATAGTAATTCAAATAACTCTGAAATGCATTCTTATGACCCTGCATTTACAACCACTTTCTGAAGCATGCACAGTTAGAGGAATGTTACTGAACACAATGTAATATTGCTCCTGTGCCTAAAGCTTTACATTGATTTCTGGTTTCCTAAACAAAGGGTGGACATTTGCAAGACAAAGCATGCTCAAAGGGAATAGTAAAGTTGTTGATCAGATAAATAATTCAATTTTCTGGTATGCTGAATGTCTATGTATAATCAGTGTTTTGTGCTTAAAACTAGTGTTACCCTTTGGACATCATCTCTGAAGAGGTGCTTCAAAGCAGTATTTATAAGGGAAGTTCTATCCCAAGTTAAAAGATACCATGCACAGTATTTTTCAGTTTTACCCTTCATACTAGTTGCAATCTCTTTGATAAATAATGTTGTCAATATACTTTTGGGAGCAGAAATATGCCAATTTTAAAGAGGGGAAAGCTTACTTTTTATGCTGTGCCAGTTGCAAGCTGGCACAGTCAACAGGTTGGCTTTCACACTTCAGGCACAATTCACTGAGGAGTTAACCTGTGGAAGCCCCATAAAAATAAATAAACTGCATAAAGGGGGCAAATTTGCTTTCATCCCATCTCTTTACCTAGTAATGGTTGTGGGACTGCAGCAGGAAAACTTTCCAGCGGATTATCTTTTTAGGCATTATGACATTTATCTGGAAGTTAGGGTCGCCAGCTCCGGGTTGGGATATTAGTGGAGACTTAGGGGTACAGCTTGGGGATGGTGGGGTTTGGGGAGTGGAGGGATCTCAGTGGGGTATAATGGCATAGAGTCTGCCATCCAAAGCAGCCATTTGGTCCAGGGAAACTGATCTCTGTCATCTGGAGGTCAGTTGTGATTCCAGGAGCTCACCAGGCCCCACCAGGAGGCTGGCAACCCTAAGTTTCAAACACTACTTTTTTCTCTGTTGGAGATAAAGAATGCCTTCCCAATACAGTTTCAGCAGATGAAGAGGCTTCTGTACTATTTTGTTGAAGATTTATTTTATATGGTTACAAAAGGCATATGGTTATGAAAGAGAGGAGTGAAATAAAAGTGAAGGTTTCTCTGTAAATAAAAGCAAATGTGTCCTATCATACCTACATTAAGTCAAGGGTATATATTGCCCACTGAAATAAAAGTTATCCGTCCACTCGAGCTATTATCAACTTTTTACAGCCTTTGAGATAAAAAAGTATCACTTTAGATACAGTGCAGTTCAAAAGATGCAAAGTCAGAACCTTTGTAGACTCTTAAGACCCTCAAACTACAAGATCTGTTGAGACAGCAGGTCCAAGAAAATGGAGTACTTTAGCAGAGAGTGACTTGGGATAAAAAAGTAATGCTTCCTCACTTTCTCCATCAATTATTTCCTGAAATTCTTATTTAATCAGGTCTGGTTGCCTAGCTCCAAATCAGCATTCACCCAAGTCTTAGAGAGTATGAAAAAAGGAAGTAACATGAGATCTTAGATCCCCCCCCCCCATCTCTCTCCACCTCCTCCTTACATAATGAAGAAGAGACACTTATAGGGAAAAGATTAAAAACAACACTACCTTCCCTCTGTAGCTGTGTGAAAGGCATTTTGTGCTTTATAAATGCTCTTGTCTCAAGAAGCACACACACAAACCAGGCTGGAAGCACAAGGTGGGTCAACATAAGTGGCAGTGATTGCTGGACGGTGATGGGGGGGGGGAGGAATCTTCCTCGCTCTCTTTCCAATTCATCCACTATTTCCATCCCCCCCACACACACAATTTTATGTAAAGAGCTACGCATTTGAACCAGACCCCGTGCTTGCCAAACTCACTGTGAAACGTGTGTTTAGGGGGAGAGGATTCTGTGGCCTAAGGAAAAACATACACACACGCACACCGTCTACCCTGCTGGAAAACCTCTAAAGACAAAGCCGCCCTGGAAGCGTGTGGGGAGGGGGGGATCAGCAGGGGCGGCTGTCCTCCGAAGGGAAAGTATGGAGTGAGCGGGGCTGTCCTTCCCATCCTGGGCACACGGCCGGCACTGGTGGTGATGGGGGACTGGACTGCCCAGAAGACTCCCCCCCCTTAAGAAAGGCAAACGGAAGGGGCCTCCCCCGAGGAGGGGTCGCACAGGGAGGAGGAAATAAAAAGGGGGCCATGAGAGGAGTTCCACCGTCGCCGCTAAGGCAGGGCAGGGAGTCTCTCAAACAAGAAGCGACTCCTCTCCTCTCCCCACACACACACACACACCCCGTTCCCCTCAGAGAGAGCGCGCGCGCCTCTTTCTCTTCTCGGAGCCGTGATGACGCCCTCGAGCCAACGCCGGGTACCTGCCTGCCCTCGCAACGCTGCTGCAGCCCCTCTCCTTCGCCTCCTCCTCCTCCTCCTCCTCCCCAGTCTGCGTTGCCGCCGCTTTACCCGACCGGGAATGACACGAGCTACCGGTCTTGGCCGCGAGTCCCCTCCGCTAAACCCCGCCCTCTCGCGCCTATTGGCCCTTGAGCTTGTCCGTCTGCGACAGCGGCGCCCAAGGCGCTTTCTCATTGGCCGTATGTCAATCTAGGCTCCCTCCCATCTACAATCAACGGTCTCAGGGGGAGTCCGAAGTCTCGAGTTGCCGCCGTCCTCCCTGCGAGAAAAGAAGAGGTGGATCGGATGCATCGAGTAGCGGACAGAGAGACCCGGACGCACCCAGCTCTGCTTGAGGCGTCCCAGATCTTCTGGACTCCCCGGTGAAACAGAGAGTCAAAGCAATCGCTGGGGCTGCCCGGGGTATCGTCTATTATTGAGCCCTGTGCAATCTCATCTCTCCTCGTCGCACCACCTGGTTTTGTAAGCGCAAACGTTTCCCAGTAGCTCTATATACAATGCCGGCATTACTTGTTTACTGCCTGTTGCTTTTCTATCTGACCGAGACAGGGAAAACTCAAAGAAGTTCATTAATTTCGTTCCATTCAAGCACGGGCTGAAGAAGGCAGGGAGGGGACAGGATGCAACCGATCCGGTTGGCCCCTGATGTGAGGCACGCTGCTGGACTAGATGGACGATTGGTCTGATCCCGCAGAGCTCTTCTTATAAACTTCAACAAAAGAGCAGCTTGGGATTCTGTGTAACGGGAAGACCCATCGCAGGAGAAGTTATCCGCGACCATTTTGCCCACCTTCGTTGTGATAAGAGCGCAAGAATCTTTGTACTTCCTCTGCCTAGAGGAATTTCCAGACTAGGGCTGCAAAAACCACGGAGTCTTCATGTTTGAAATAAAGTTTCTACCAATTTGATGATCTCTCTCTCTCTTTCTCTCCCTCCTTGCTATCCAGGCTTTTCCTTGCTCGATTATCGGAGCGACAGGGCAAGGGGTGTGTGTGTGTGCTTTAAAAGATAAACAAAAATAGCAAGTGTAAAACTCAGCCACACGCGCACCATACTCTGGGAGGACTCCCGCTGGTTCATTCGAATATTCAATCAGCGCTGCTCTGAGTGAGGAGCCACAAGCAGGGCGAACAGAACAGGCTTCCGAGTTGCGCAGGTAGATGCACTCGCTTGTGCCGTCCATGACAGGCTGAGCGGCTAGACCGAGAGCGCCAGAGGGGGATTCTAATCCCCCCCCCCAACCCACACACACCCTCCCCCTCGGAACTGCCACGACGTGACGAAACCCGGATGCTTCCCTGGGCAGAATTCTGGAGCCGAGAGACCGCTCGGCGTCGGGAAACGAATGTACGCGAGCAGCAGGCAGCTTCTCCAAACAGGAGTCCGAGGAGGGCGGCGGCGGCGGCGGCAGGCTCGTGTCTCCTGTGGTGCGTGTGAGCCAGGGACGGGGCGAAGAGGCTGCGCTGCATTGTGGCAGACCAAGGAGAGGCCAGACCAGACGCCTCGCAGCTGCAGCACATAAAGTGGCTGCGTCCGGAGTTCCGTGCAAAAAATGGGATGAGAGCGGAGTTAGGGACGGAACACCAGGCGGGAAAGGTGGCTTTGGGAGACCTGGCTGCTCACGCACGTGTCACTCCACGTACGCGACGACTGAAAGATGGAAACTCGAACCAAACCCCCCCCCCCCCCCCCGCGCGAAGTGAAGTCCGCGTGTGTATCGCCCGGCCAGCACCCAGAGTCCAAACGCTGTCCTCGGCTCACCCGCGTGTATGCGCGCGTGTGTGGTTAATGGCGTTTGCACATCTGGTATGTCACTTGACAGAAAATAACAAGGGGCGAGGATGGAGTTAAATGCTCACCGAGCGCTTATTTTCCTTGGTTCTGTGGACTTAATATTAGATTGGCAACATTATCTGAACACATCATTCTTCCCTAGTTTATTTCCTTAGCGTTTTTCTTATATATTTCTAGAAAAATAAACCGTCGAGAGTGAAATGCTAGAAAGCTGCAAGGAAAGGACTCCTGTAGCGCTATCAGTCATTTTACAGTCACTTTCACAGCAGGGCTGGGGCTGCCACCCAATTCAAGACATTTCTGTAGACTAAGAGTCCCGGTTAGTTGAGGAAAACAGTCGTTGCTTGGGGGTGAAGCATGTGTTACAGCAGGAAACATCTTAGGAGAGGCGTTCCATCCTGCGTATGAGAGGAGACAGACTGCACCTCCCTAGAAGAGAACATGATCTGTACTTTGACTTCCTGAGCTACCCTTTCCCCTTTGTTCTGGCCATCACAGAAGATGGGGGGGATGGGCAAAGGGGCAGAGATACAACTCAGGGTCCCACAGGAAGTTCTGTTCTAAGATGGCACCCTTACCTGCATATTTATATAGTTTTATTTAATAATAATAACATTTAAACATTTTAGAACACCTGGTGTCCAGTAATCAGGGTTATCTTTTTAATCAACTCAAAGGTTTAATGTATTAAACTAAGTCATGAATCTAATTAATGAACTGATTAATCTACTAAAAGTTGTAGCCTTGTTTTAAATGAATGTGTTCTGTTCACCCATACCATTTCTTTTTTACCTTCCACACGAAGAAGAGGAGGAGGAGGAGGAGATTGGATTTATACCACACCCTTCACTCAGAGTCTCAGAGCGGCTTACAAACTCCTTTCCCTTCCCCACCCCACAACAGACACCCTGTGAGGTAGGTGGGGCTGAGAGAGCTCTGAGAGAACTGCTCTTTCAAGGACAGCTCTGACAGAACTATGGCTTGCCCAAGGTCATCTAGCAGCTCCAAGTGGAGGAGTGGGGAATCAAACCTGGTTCTCCCAGATTAGAGACCGCACACTGAACCACTACACCAAACTTTGACAGTGAAATAAATCTTGTTGATTCATACAATCAACTGAAGTTCAAAATATGAAATGTGTGGATCTGATTTCAAATGTTTTCTCACCCTTAAATTGTGTATTGACAATCCACTTCTTCCACTCCTAATATCAATGTATTGGCTGCCTCCATTTCACTTTAAAATGTCTGTCCCCTGTTTTGTATCCTGTAGGAACAAATGTTCACAACGGGTGCAAGAAACACTCACAGGACACTGTTCTTTGTGTATGTGTGTGGGGGGGAAACAAAGTTAAGTATGTAATGGAATAGTTGTCCTATTGCTTTGCCATTTCTGAACTTGTAACTTTATCCACATGCTTGCATCATAACAACACTGCTGAAAGTCAGCTTGCAAGGTATACACTGTACTCTGAATGGATCTACTCAAACCACATTCCAAGCACATGACTTTGGATGTGAGAGTGCTTCTCGCTGTTTGTACAGGACAGTAACCTGCTTTGGTATTGTGTCAGCCAGGTACAACCCTATCATCAGGAATGTATGCTGTATGCTAATTTACTGCTCACCCTCTACCTGTTTGTATGGACTGGTAATTTCCACTTTATTGTATCTACAGAAGTGTGTGTGCACACCTTGAATAAAACTTTGTTGGTCTTAAAGGTGCCACTGGACTCAAATGTTGTTCTGCTGCTTCAGACCAACACAGCTACCTCACCTGAATCCATCAGGAATGTACTGCCACTGCAGCCTGGAGATCTAAAGAGCAGCCTTATCAGAGACCTCCTATCTTCGTGCCTGCAAGGCCAATGCCATTACTGAGTCATCTCTCACTTCTCCACCCCTAGTTTTTAAAGTACTAATTGCCTCAGTCACAATCTCTTCCACTTCCTGTTGTGCTCCTGCAGGAGATGGAATCATGATCAAAAAGGCACACAGAGTACTCAGTAGAGGCGTGAACAGAAGTAAATTTTGGTTTCAGAACCAGAAAGGATACTGCTGTAGAAAGCCTTAAGGCATTTTTGGGAATGGGTGGTGATGAAACTGCCTGATCATTTTCTTCTTCATCTCTTCACCACCATCTCTCCACTGCTGCTCATGTTCAGCATTTGAATTTACAGGGTTTCACTGTGATAGCCAGACTTAAGTCCATTGCTCTGTCTGTTTGGGTTGGTATTGAATGATTCAACTGCCTGCCAAACAACTGAACTTGGTTGTGTGAAAGCATGCATGCATGAAAAGCTGGTTGTGTTTGACTGCACTGTTAGGAAAGAATATAGGGAGGCAACCTTCTGAACAGTCACAAATAAACTGGCTCCCAGTTCAAGACTGGCAAGCAGAGCACGAGCTGAACCAGTGGGTGATCAAGCATTCTTACTTTATCCCCATTCCCTGTCAATATGTCCCTGCCCCCCCCCCTTCTCCCTGGCCTTCTGGAACTCTCTCTTGTTCCCCCTCTGGCTGTCCTCCCAACACTTGGCTCTCTTTGCTATCCTTCTCCCCACCCAGTGTTTTACTTTTGCCCATAGAAATGAGCGACAGCTATTCATTTTTGTAGGAGAAAGTAAATGTATGTTATAATGTCCTTGGGTGCACCCTTCCCTCAGAGAACTCATCCATTAAGAATCAGCCCAGCTGTTGCCCTCATGGCCTCATTTTAGGATCTTCTTATTGATGGAATGTTGAGAGAGCAAGGCAAGATAACAAGAGCGGTGTTTTAAATATATATTTTGGTAACTGTTGTAATGATTTCTGGTTAACTACCCCAAGTTGTGCTTCCAGTCCCAATCCATACTCCCCTTCCTGCTACTTTTAAAGCTGAAAATCCCACAAGAGATGTCTCTTCTGGTTTGGCCCTAAAACAGCATAGAATAGCAGGCCCACAAATGGATGGAATGGGTGGCAAATGCTCTGGAAAGGAAGCAGCAGCAAATGTTTAAAAGCCAACCAGCAATGCAGTGAAGTGTATTTGTTTGTTTTTAGTTCCAGAGGTCATTTTGGGGGGGATC